TATTCCAATTTTTGACTTGATTTCACTACAGGATGCAGCTGAACAGTTGCATTATCCAGAACTTAGTGGAGAAAGCTTGAGATTAGAAATGTTTTTCCAGTTTCCCTTGGAGCAAGTAACGGAAGTGATAGTCTTGGGAGAAAGACTATCAAATGTTCAAATCGACAAATTCGGAACAGTCGCAAAAAATGTTTAGTTTTTTTGAGTTTGAAGGTTCCTTCAAATAATAGCTAATCTTATCGTGTTTTGAATTTTTCTTGAAAACTTTTTCATAAAAATCCAAGTTTCAACCCAAAAACTCTTATCATTGACTTACCATGAATCAAAAAAAAAACTAATAAAAAGTCCTTCGTTACACAAATTACCCGTAGTTAACCTTCGATATTTACAAATTAAATAACACGCGCCAACATTTTTGCGAAAAAAAACTAGACATTTTTTCACAAAAACCAAATTTTTACCATTATCTTACTATCACACAAACCATAAAACCCCTTTTCCTAATACATTGTAGACTCTATACCCAATGTTAATACATAGCTGGCGGACCGGATGCTCTGTTCCCTATCTTAAAAAAATCATAAGGGTCCACCACCAAACCCCCCCCCCTCTCCCAACCTCCGACATCTACTACTGACTTTTCATTCGAGATTGGTTCTGCCCATGTGATTTCAAAAAAATATTGGAGTTGAAAGGTGGGGGAAGTGGGGTTATATGGCTGAAAACATGTATAAACACACATTTTAGGTTGGTTAGCCATGCTAAGTTTTATCAAAGGGTTTAGACTCTACAATGTATTAAGATAGGAAATATAACTTATAATATTTCATATTTTGTGTAATGGTATTACGTATATATTGTTGAATGAAACTGTATTTTATGATTTTTGCTTCCTGGTAAGCCAAATGTAAGAGTTTTTCAGCACAAATTGAGTTTAAAAAAAAACTTGAGATTTTTCAAAAGAATATTTCAAAACACGATAATGTTCGATCTTATCTATTCTATGACTTGTTTGTTTATGGCATTCTTTTTTACTTTTGCTCTATTTACTTGATGAAGCTTCAAAAAAATCTAAAGTTTTCGAGAAAAAATATGAATTACGAAAAAAATAAAATAATCACTGCTTCGTATTTTAAGTTTACCTCAACTTTGTAATGAAAAATCGTAAAATTAAAAAGTACTGCATGGTGCATAAATTTAATACAAGGCATAACTTCTTATACATTCATTACATTGCATCAAGTCTTATAATTACATTGGTTTGGTATGAAACTCATCATTTTAAACTTGCCTTCTGGGATACAAATAACTAAGTCCTTTCTTTGTCCGCTCGTCAGTAGCAATCAAATAAAAAGAATTTCTGATTTCCCTGTTTCTAGATGTGAGGTAGACTTCTTCATCAAGTATTCTCCTGTACTTTGACATGGATGTCTCCAGAAGGTTCTAGAACTCGTTTGATCAGACCTTTTCTACTGAATTTGAACTTTTCTGACTTGTTGTCATAGCAGCAAAAAGTTTTGCTACACAGACATAGCATTTCTGAATTTCATAACTCCTCTCCGAAAGTTCCTGGTTACCGTTTATCAAGTTTTACCTGGGTAATGCAACACATTCGAAGAAAATGAATAGGTTTTTTATGTACCTTGAAAGAGTCTCTGCCAATTGTGATTTCTGTTAAGCTTTTCATTGCCTGAAATTCATGGTTTTTTCATCCGGATAGGTTGCTAAAAAACACTTATGTCGAAATCGACTTACATCAGACATGTCACTCGAGCTTGCTTCTACCCATTGTGATATCTGTTCAAAGTTTCTTTTAATGGAATTAATCAAATTTTATCTGGTAGGGTGCTGAAAACGGCCTAAATCGAAATCGATTTGTATCAGGTTCATACCTCGAGAAAGCTTCTACCTATTGTGATTTCTGTTCAAAATTTCATTGCCTGAAACTCTTCATTTTTTATCTGCATAGGGTGCTGGAAAAGGTTTATGTCGAAAATGAATAACATCAGACAGATCACTCGATGTTGCTTCTACCCATTGTTATTTCTGCTCAAAATTTCATTGCCTGAATTTATTCATTTTTTGAATAGGGTGGTGAAACTGACACATACCGATACCGAATCAAACCAGATACATCACTCGATATTGCTTTTGCCCAATCAGATTTATGTTCAAAGTTTCCTAACATGAAACTCATCAATTTTTATCTGCTTGGGTGTTCAAAGTAAAATGACATATCGAAATCGACTTATATTAAACTTATCACTCGAAAGTTTCTACACAATGTGATGTCTGGTAAGCTTTTCATTGCCTCGAACTCATCAGTTTTTGTCTGGATAGATTGCTGAAAATGATTTTTGTCGAATTCAACTGACATCGGATAGATCATTCGAGGACGCTACTACCCATTTTGAGTCCTGTTGAGAGTTTCATTGCCTGAATTTCATCATTTATCATCTTCTTAGAGTGATCAAAAAATGAATTTTATCGAAATCAACTTATGTCAGACATATCACTGAGATTGCTTCTACCCAATTTGATTTCTGTTCAAAGTTTCATTGCCTGAATTGCATCATCTATTATTTGTTTAGAGTTTTCAAAACAAACTGACATAAGCCGAAATCGGCTTACACCAGATATATCACTAGAGAATTCTTCTTTCTATTGTGATAACTATTATTTTCTCATTGCCTGAAAATTATCAATTGATATCTGGATAGGGTGCTGAAAATGACTTATATCGACATCGACTCACTTCAGTCATATCATTCGAGATTTCTTCTACCCGTTGTAATTTATTCTCGAAGTTTCCTTGCCCAGAATTCATCTATTTTTATTTGGATAGGTTGCCAAAAACTAGAATGGACGGGGGTGCTAGGGTGACCCCATGTATTAACATCCGCTATAGATTTCCGGATTTGTATGCAATGTATTAACATTGGGTTTAGACTCTACAATGTACTAGGGTAGGGATTTAGAAATTGTAAGGTTCCATTTTTGGCATGATGGTAATTGAATGGTGAGAAAAATGTGTTTTATTTGTTTAAGAAAAAAAATAAGCTCTATGAAAAATCGTAAAACCAAAAAAGTACTGCATGGTATATACATTTAAAACAAGCCTTCTTATAAATTCTTCGATACAAACTTGTTATAAATTCATTACATTGCATCAAGTCTTTGAATATTTTTGGTTTGGTTTGAAATTCATCATTTTGAACCTGCCTTCTTGGATAAAAATAACTAAGTCCTTTTTTTGTGTTGTTCTCTTTTGTAGCAACCATATGGAATAAATTTCTGAATCCTCTGTTTGTAACTGTGAAGTTGACTGTTTCATCGAGTACTGTTTTGTATTTTGACATGAGGCCGTCTCCAGAATCTTCTAGAACTCGTTTGTTCAGACTTTTTCTACTGAACTTGAAATTATCTGACTTGTTGTCATAGCAGCAATAACTTTTGCTACACAAAAGACCATTTCTGTACATTTAAATTCCTCTTTGAAAATTTATAGTTTCCGTGTATTGTGCTTTTTCAGGGTAGTGCAACACTTTCGAGGGAAGAAAATCGGTCTTGCATTGTACTTAAAAGATTCTCTGCAGTCATTTTCCCTCATTTTTTCTCAAATGTTTTTTCAACTGGCTAGATAAGGTCGTATAAATTTCCTTAAGCAAGATCTCAATGAAGCAAGTCTGTATATATTTTCAAATCTGCGGATTCTTACATCACAGAATTTGTTAAAGAAGTTATAGTAAAGCTCCAACATTCTCCGTTTTGCTTACTACACTATGAAAAAAACAATCAATGATGGGTTCTATGTGTTTAATGGGTGATTTCAACAACTCCAACTCATACAAGTGTTTCTCAACTATATTCAGTTTTCTGAATATTTCTTTCAATGCCTTATAAGTCTTTTAATCATAGCATTATTTTGTGATTGTATGTCTGGATCTATCCAGATCTGATTTTCCTTGGTGGAACTGCTCAAAACTTTCAATGTTTCTTCTACAAATCCTGATAGAGTGTTTCCATCCCCTTCTCTTTTAGCAAAAATCACTGATTGAACGATACTATTGAAACATCTTCGCCGAGAAAACTGAACAAAATGGCAACTTATGGTTAACTGCAAGCCAATTTACAAAACAAAATTGAACATAGGAGTTAAAACTGTTCCATTTTCCAGCATGAAGCACGATATCAGCGTTCTCTAAAGATATTTTATCAATTCGTTCTCGACTGCATAGTTTTTCATATAGTCTTCAATATCGTTTCTTCTTACTACGGTGTTTTTGAAAAATGAAGGATAGTTGGCAAAATTTGATTTTCGTTCATCTTGAACAACTAAATTGCATTGAACATAGCCAAAAAGAGATCCATGTTTTAATTCTGCCGAAAAAGGGACTCTTATGAAGAAGATTTTCTGTAGGTAAAATGGGTTCTGACAAGGTTTTTGATCTTGTCATTGGTTTAAGAAAATTTGCACTTCCCATACGCCCACATTTCTTCAAATTGTATCTTTCTCTTTTATGTACTCATCTCTCAAGTCATATATATGTCTCTTCCTGATACCTCGCTCAATAACCTGACCTGGAACAGAAGTGATAGCAACATCCCATACTTCGAATACTAATTTACGGTGATCACAAAAACCATCCATACTGAAACAGTCTATATTTTCAAGTTTCCAGAAGTGAAAAGAAAAAGCTCTCAAATTTGGGGTTTGGTCTGTGCTCATGGCAGAATTACATGGTAAAGTTCTCAAAAATGAGATCTTGGTTATGTCTAGCTTTAAAATTCTGCTTATCG